GGGAAAAACTGACAATTTCCAAGGAATCACCCTGGGGTCTAGCCAACATTACTAAAAGAAAAAAACTCTCTGTGATGTGTAAGGATGTAAGGATGAGTAATAAGCAAATAAAAGAGATTATAAAGAAACTTCTTCTACTCTACATGTAGCTGGATCTAAAAACAAGACAGCACTTCTTAATCTTGTTTTCCCTTGGAACATTTGATATGCATTGTCTGTAATATATATATATTTTTTTTTGTGTTTAAGGCTTCCTATATGCTCACAAAGGATTTACAGATATTTTTATATCTTACTCAATCTACAACTTATGTTATAACTTTCAAAAATATAGATGGATTATATTTGTCTCAGGTTTGACATGAACAGAGGCACTGCTGGGGAGAAAAAAAAGGTGAAACCTTTAAAAAGGCAAAAAGTAGTATAGTTAACGAAAGAAATGCAAGACTATAAAGTAAATACATACGCAAGCACTGAGGTACTTCACCACTCCATGTTCCATTCCCAACACAAGTCAAAACAGCAGGAAAAGAGAGTTCATATCCTGGAGAGCAGACATAGCTAATGCTAAATCCCCAGTCCAAATTTGTTCCTTCCAACCTTCCATTAGAGATCTGCGGAGGAGTTGGGCAGGTAACAGCTGCAATGATATCCAAAATAATTAGGCCCAGCTGCTGTAAATATCCCCAGTGTACACAATTACTAGAAGAACCATATGTGCTAATTTCACCTTTTTCAGGAGACAATACAGTCAGGACATGCCATCTTCCTCACTGTATTCTTGCCACATTTCATGAAGTTAGTACTTCTGGTTTTCTCTATTTAGGAGACAGTGACTGATTGATGAAGTGTTTTATATAAAGCAGGATGCTGCAGCAAACCATATAGGATGACTACCTAAAAATTCCGTATGGAGACTATGAAGTGTCCAACATTTAAGATATGTCTGGTAGTATACAAATTTTGCTTCTCTGTTTAGATAACATAGTGTGCAACTATCTTTAGTTGCTGTGGTAGTAGTCAAATGCTTTCTTCTGGTTAACCAGCTTAATATCTTGCTAGATATTAATGTCCTAGGATGATATTCCAGGATGATTCTTCCAAGGTATTACTTTAAACTGTAAGTACCACAGTTTGCCTAGCATATGCTTCATGAATAGCTCCTCACCAAAAAGCATCTAGCTTCTTAGCTAGAGAGAAAGATCTAGGGATCTGCAACCTTTCGAAACTGTCAGTCTTGCTGCCTCTAAGAAGGCAAATAAAAATTACTTCAGTACAGTTTCTCATTTCCAGGACTCCCAGGAAAAACAAAATAGAAATGTCTTCCACTCATTTGTAGGAAAGAGGACTGAAAAAACACCCCAGTAGGACAGTAGAAATTAAGAGAATAACTGCAGCAATGAAGACAAAAGCTTTATTCACTGGATAACAGGGAAATAACATACAATTGCTAATTGACAGCTGAAGGAAAAATAGTATAAAAAAAAGCTAAATGAAAAAAAAAATCTAAATCAAAAAGAGAAAGGGGGAAGTTTAGGGAAGTTACTAGAAGGAATGAGAAACAGAAAAGGGGCAAAAAAGAGAAAAGTTGGGAGAAAGGAAGAAACTATTCTAGCACAACAGAAAGAAAGCAAATTAATATAGTAAGATTTAATTTAGTGGACACGGGGTAAAGAAGAAGAGATGGTGACTAAAAGTAAAGCAGAGAACACACAGGTCACAAGAATGAAGGAAATAAACTACTTAGAGAGCTGTCTTGCAGGCTTAAAAGAAATCAGAGGCTCTAGGTTGGGAGTGTTTCATATTTGAATGTGATCAGCAGGAGTTTCACCATGTACTGTTTCTCCATCCTTAGTATAGTTCTCAGTGAGAGAATCTCAACTATTTACACCACAAAGAGGCTCTGCAGAATGATTCATGGCTGTTTGACGATACTGAATTAAAGTAGTACTATTATCAAATTATTAAAAATTAAAATTATCAAATAGTACTACTTTGCCAACCAGTAAAACAAATCTAAATTTTAAGGCCCTATTTTTGATAATTTCTTTTGCTCTGATTCAAAGGTTAAAAAAAATCATAAAACAATGAATACAGAAAAAGGTATGATAGCTTTTGCCAAACTTTCATTATGCTTTAGTAAAAGTAAGTAAAAATAAGTAGCAGCAAAGTCTGTCTGCATTCTCCAAGAACTTCATGACTAGTCCCCTCCAAAGTATCTGTATGTTTTAACTTCTGAGCTGAATAATAAAGGAAGAAATACCAGTGAATAATTAGGAAAGCAGACAGAAAAAGTAGCATGAAAATAGGTGTAATATCAGAATTTTGGGGTTAAAATAGCAGAACAAAACAACACCCAGCAACAAGACAGGATGCCTCTCGAAATAATTGGGTCAGAGATTTAACCATAAATATGTACAGCAACTTTTCTCAGTTTAGGAGCTGAAAGTATATAATACATGCAAGTCTGCAGAAACAACAATTCTTTAATAGTTGAGTATTTAGTTCCAGATGAATATGCATCTTCTTCTAACTAGTCAATGCCAGAGAATTATTTATATCTTCTATTTCAATGGCATAGTGACAATTATGCATCCATTTTCTGCCCAGTTAATTTTAAAATTATTTTAAATAAATGGTACCAGAGGACCCTGGCACTTCCTCCTGACAGGAAAAACTGTTTCGTATTTCAAACACACCACTGCATGTTATGTATTACTTTTAATTACATGGTCAAATAAATAGGGTTTATTAACTTATCTAGTGCACTCACACAAACCTGTGTGGAGTAGAACAAAATTCTGAGACCACTAGAGGTTCTGCGTAGGATTATTATTTAATATTTATACAAGCCATGAGTATGTATGACCCAAAATCAGAAAGACTCAAAAACTCAAAGCCGAAATTGACAGTCTAACTCCTTCTTTGTATGATTTTGTTTGAATCAAATTGGAGTTCGATCTCGTGCTTCTGTTAGGTGTCCCGTAGTCCTTAAGAATTGGAGGTTGGGGGACTATATCATAAATATGTTTTGTCTTATGGTCTTCTAGCTTTTAACTTCCAGCTACTCTTGGAGACAGAGTCTTGGTTAATAAGGATCAGTATGGCCATTCTATTCTTAAAGTCAGTTTTGTAATTGAATCTGAGGCTGACTTAGAGCACAATACAAATAGAAAAAAAAATTATTAAGGGGATCTCAAAGTCTGACATCCTCAAGAATGTACTGGGAAAATAACTTTAAAAATTGACATTATCAAAGGTGCATTTGAACTAAACTGGACTTGTTAAGATATTGGGTGAATTGTATGCATCAAGAAACATAATGGCAAATGAGGTGGAGATTTGAAATTTACTTGATCTGTTTTGACGAATGAATTCAGAGAAGAAAAATGAGAACTAAGCAGTTATGTAACTGTACATCCTGGGGGGGAAAAAAAAAAAAAAAAAAAAGAAGAGGGATGAGAACAAAGTACAAACTTAGATGACCAAGTTTTAAAAGAATAGAGAACAGACATATTTAGTGTCAGCTCAGAAAGGAAACACCAAAATGGTAATGTTGATTCTCTGCAGCTGTGGTATCAGGAAGAGTGAGAAAAATGACTCTAGAGAGAAGTTGTTTTAGGGTTTAGCAAGTGCATTTCTCAGAGAAAACAGTTTTGATGACACAGATAAGGTAGTCCTTTTCTAATGTTCAAAATTTGCTGCTTTTGTTTTCAAGGGACCATTAAAAAAAAATCCAATAAAATAAAAAAAAAAACATGAATGAAATTAGTAAAATAGAGAAAAGAAAGATCTGGAGATTAATCTTTTCTGTTTCCACAGTAGAGACAGTAAAGAAAATAATATGAAACAGAAAGATATTTATTAGGAAATTTCCTAGAAGGATTTAATCTTTTTCCTGACTATGTTGATACAACACAGTGATGCTCACAGGGGCATGTCTAATGAAGAAGTCAGAGAATAATCTTAGTATTATGGAGAGTGTAAGCCAGAAAAATTTGCCTTTCAAAAAGTTTGGTTGTATGTATTCAGACCTTTCCCGAAGGTGCCTATCATGTGCTTGAGTGGCCTTTTTGTAAAGAGACATATATAAGGTCATTTCAGATATGACATGCTAACCTTAACAAACAAATAAATGAATCTAAACCATGATTTCATATTGTTTAATTCAGTTTAATGTGAAGTAATAAAATGTTCTATAAAGCTTCAATAAACTGTTCAACTCACTGCGCTGCTATGAAAAATAAAGAGAAAAGAAGCAAAGGATGAAGTTACTGTTCCTGCAGCCAAAAAATCAATTCAGTATATTCATACTAGCAGTAAGTTTTGATTTCTGTGGAAATATTTGGTTGACTCATTACAATAAACAGTGAATGTAAATGTCACAGAAGAAATAGCTGACAATCACAATAAACGCTGTACCTTTGCATGTTGGGATTACTCCACTCCACGTGCCATTGCTAGTACAAGTGCGAATTAAGGAGCTGTTTGTTTCCATTGTATAGCCAGGTTGGCACATATAAGTAACATTTTGTCCAAGAACATAATCATCACCATATCTCATGCCGTTGGCTGGGACTCCTGGATCTCCACAACTGATAACTGCAATTAAATAGTTGAGGAACAGATTTTAAAACGTAGATGTGCTTTATTTATATGTGAGGGGAAAAGCATAGGGCGAAACTATGAATTTATTGGAGAATAAAAGGGGAAGGAAAAAGTATCATAAATCTTAACTCCATCAAGAGAAGATAAATGTATATATAAACTGAATTAGCTGCCAAACACAACACATGGAGCTGTATAACAGTTATATTTGGAGAATATCAACACATCTGTTTAAAAGTAGAAGTAATAGATTGTACAGTTTTGGTCAAAAATTTCAAGATTATAAAGTAAAAAAAAATAAAAATAACAAAACCAAAACTAACAAAATACCTAAAACACCAAGTAATGATCCATACATCACTACCACCCTTTGATACCCTCAAATCTTCCTATCAGTTCAGAGTTTCATTATTAAGGAAGAAGATATCTAGTTTATTTTTCCATGGGTACACCCTGAAAGGAAACAGAGTCAGGGAAATTTAAGATACATGCATGCAAAAAGCTCCCACTTTGTAAATGCTCACATGGTTACTATGTATACAAACACATCAGAAAGCTCAGGCAACTCCCAAGCATGAGCCATGGCTTATGTCAAGAGTAGGCCTATAGTACTTTAATGAGTGCGAATTGTTGTAAAACATCTTGTGATTTCTAGTGTCAGGATATTTATAAGGAGTTAATAAAAGAGTTATGTCATTATAATTGGACATTAATGTTAAAACAGGTGAATTTCTCTCAGAACTGGTCAAATGGATCTATCAATTTCTGGAACAGTTTTCAGAGTAAGAACAATTTTCAGAGTAAGAAATCTTGAGAATCCTAATGGCAATGATCAAAATCTGTTCTTTTTGGTGGTGGGGGGGGAAAGATAAAAAACAAAACAAAACAAAACAAAACTAGTTCATACAAAATACAGCACCCACGTGTTTTAGAGTTTATCATACAGTAAACTTGAAAATCACTCCACAGTATTGCTATTGCTTCTGTAAAATTGTGGGAGGTAGTTTCCTGGACAGAAAGCAAATCCTGGCCACTTCTAACTCAATGTCAAAACATTTATTTATATCCAGCTTAAACACTGTTCTCAGCTTTTCATTCACCCTCCTTGCAATCTCCACTTCTTTCTTTTGGTCATTAAAAGAACTATTTTGTTTCTTCCACTGTTACTGTAATGAATGTGCACTTTCTGCTGCTGAGACTTTAACACTGATCTGTTGTACAGCAAGAGATGCCATGTTTTTATCAGAACTCCAGATTGTTCTACCTTCTCAAAATTCCAGCCTTCCTATCAGTAACTTTTCAAGCCATACCCAAAAAAAAAAAAAAAACAAAAAACCCACAAACAAACCCAGACCTGATTTTCCTGTCATGTGTTTGTGTCCTATACTTACTAATCTTTACCTTGCTATAGGAAAAAGACTTGCATGAAAGAAAGGACTTATGGGAAAACAGAGTTATTCTTCATATTATATTGTAATATTATAACTGTTCATAGAGGTGGATTAGGAGTGATAAGGAAAAGATCCTTCTGCTCTTCTGTCTTATACTGCAACATCTGACTTTCCAAGAAAACATAAGCAAATGCAAGGAGATGACCTAGATTTAACTGAAATATTGTGTTTTATCATAAATGCAGGAATAACAAAACAAAAGAAACACATAGTATCTACTTAGGAGGCTCAGTGGCATTTTCTGAAATTCACAGATTGGGTCAGTCAGAGAATCACAGAATGGAGAAATTGGAAGGGACCTCTGGAGGTCATCTTGTACAACTCCCCAGCTCAAGCAGTCCATCCAATGACCCAAAGTTGGATCACCTCCACTTAAGTCACTGTCGCAGGCAAAAAGCTTAAATTGTTGTAGTGACCCTGATCAGAAGACCACTGTACATCAAGCAGTCATTGATCTGCAATACAGTTAACCCGGGGAGCCCCAGGCCTGTGCTGCACTGTGCTGCACATCCAGCATAGCCTTCAGACCTCTGCTGTGCCACACAGATCCCTTGGCACAACCTCAGCTCAGTCATTGCTACATAGGAGCTGCAGACTGCTCCCAGTATCAGTGATTACACTAGCTGTAGGTCCTTGCTTTTCATCTAGCAGTGCAGCAAGAAGTTCTCCTGAGAACTTTGTTCCTATTTGACTGTAGAAATGATAGGGATTTTTTTGTAAGAAAATCCTGTAATAGCTTGGACAAGTGAAAAGGGACAATCTTGGCTATGGACAAGGCCTGCATGGCATGTTGCACGTGGGTCAGAGTCTTGCTTGATGCTACACTGCCAAGGGTTCCCAGCATCTAAAGCTTCTATTCTCTTCTTACAGTGTTAGCTCTAACAACCAGCATTTTCAATGATATGCAAGAGGCAGCCTATTACTTGGTAGATGCACTAAGTACAGGCTGGTTGTAAATTTTTATAATTTTTATAACTTTTGGACTAAAGTGGCATATCCCAATTCTTCATTCTAATAGCAACATAAGACAGAGCAAACAATTAGGACACTGATATACGTTATATGTCTATTTGGAGTGGTGTTGAGGGCCCAGGAAGAAGATGAAGATCCTGCCTAGATACAAGATCCTGGAATTGGGAATGATTCTAGAAAAGGAGCTATGTGGAGACAAATGTCAGGATGTGGTCCTGACTGATAACACCTGAGTTTCATACAGGTTTTATACAAGCAGTGGCACAGCACAAACCAATGAGATGAGAACTCCAACAATGTAACCCTGCAGGGAATCAAGGAAGTGTGAGATAATCAGGAAGGTAAAAGCTTTAAACTGCATGGTTCTTAGCTGGACACAACATCCAGATCCACTTTGGGTTGCTCTTTACTTTGTGTCATTTCTGACAGCCACTCAGGCCAGGTGCTTGCCTAAGCTATCCTGGAAACCTGCAACAGTCCCATGTGTTTCCACGACTTGAAAATTTTGGGAAATCTTGACATAGTGAAAAAAAAAAAAAAAAAAAAAAAGAGCGCATGTGTACTAATTTTGGCTTGGATAGAGTTGGAACATTTGGAGCTTTGGTGTTTGCCCTCCCAAGAAACCACTACATGTGATGGAGCCTTGTGGAAATGGCCAAACATCTGCCTGCTTATGGGAAGTAGTGAATGAATCCCTTGCTTTGCTTGCATGCACAGCTTTTGCTTCACCGATTAGATTGTCTTTAACTCAACCCCCAAGGTTTTGAACATCTCCTCCATCCCACTGTATAAGAGAGTGAGTGAGCAGCTGTGTGGTGCTTACCTCCCTAGCAAGGTTAATCCATAACAGTGTGGTAGGGATAGTTAGGAAAAGAAGACCTCAAATAAAACCTGCCCTGTCAAGAGTCTGTTGGCTCAGTCAGTTTAACTGCTTTGGATACCCTCTGAAATCATTATGAGAAAGTTCTTCCCTCACAATAGATGATCTTCTTCAGGCATATTTTATAGATCTGGAGATAAATCTGGCAGGACAAAGAGAGGTGATTGTTAACTCATGGTCTGTTAACTAGCTATTTAGCTAATATTGTCCATTAACTCTGTTAATTATCTGATAGTAATTTAAAATTGATATATTGTAGGAGAGAACGTAGCAAGTTAAGTATGATGAAGTTTAATATACTTATTTTTATTTTATATTTGGATGTGCTAGGGAAATATAGAATTAAAAGTCTGTAGAAAAGGACACAGATTAGACATAGCTCTGAGCAACCTGCTCTAGCTGATCCTGCGACAAGCAGAGGGGTTGGACTAGGCAGTCTCCAGAGATGAGTGCTGACCTCAGCCGTTCTGCAGTGCTGTAAGAAGACTTTCCTTTTCTGGGTGTTTTAGAGCTCCTGATAGTACCTCTATCAGCTTAGATACAAGTTGCAGTATGTGATAGTGCTTTCACCCCCCTTTAGGAGCTAGTTAGTAACAATGATCAAAAAGGCAGAAAAAAAATCAGCCTGAGATTCTCATAACTCGCATCTGTTTTTGTAAGGTTGTCATTCAATCATTCTTTTCACATTCTGACCACTCCAGGTAATACACATCAAAGTAAAAACCCCTAAATAACATTATCAATGGAATAAATATATAAAGGAATATACTTTCTAGATGTGTAATCATAACAAAGAGAGAACTACGTTATTAGGGTTGTCGACAGGTTTATTTATAACAAAATTAAAATAATTTTAATTTTAATAAAATGATTTAAATTAATAATTTAATTTAATAAAATAAACAAAAATAATTAATTTATTAATTTAATCAATAATCTTTTTCTTATTACATATAATCTTCGTAGTGCCTCCCTTTGTTTTATCAGGATGCTTTCTCTCTTAAGATATTTTTCTAAGTTTTAAGCTGAAATCTCATGTTTCCACACGAGTAGATTTTTTTTTTAAGAAGACAATTCTAGTACATACTTCAGCTAAATGTCGTCCTAAACTACAAGAAAAAATATAGATGCTATTACCATCAAAAAACACCTTTATCCTTGGTATGGTTAATCTAGTTCTTATTATAACTTGGAAAAGAATAAATAAAACATCAGGGTCTGTCACAGGTTTGCTGACTGCAAAAGCAACTGTTCATATGCTTAACATTAAAAACGGATTTTAAAAGAACAGAAAGAGAAGAAGTTTGCTTTAAAAAGTGTAATGTAGCCAACTCTATGAAAAGTAGGGTAATAGTTCAAAATTTAAGCTACGATTTGCTATACCACTGATGAGGATATGCTTCCTTAAAATCGTAAGTAGTGTCATGCGTCACATAAATATAAAATTTTCATAAATGTTACTAGAAGTTGAACTAGGACATGTAACAAAGCAGGAACAGATGGGCTTCGAAATAAACTGGTGCAAAATGCTTATTATGAATGTGAGAGAAACTGAAATAGCTTCTGTTAGCTGAGTAACCAAAGCAAGTATAAGGTTAATGAAGAGGCCAAACAAAATACGTTATGTGAAAGCAAGACAACAGTTTTAACCTCAGAATCATTAAAAAAAAAATCTTTATTGTTGATTTCAAGGTTTTTATTTTCTACCCTCTTAAAGACCAGGATACTATACTGCTAAGTTTTCATAATAAAGAAAAACAAATTAATAATGTTTGAATATGATGTATCACAAAACATAAACAAGACTAAAAATATACACTAGGAAAGAATTAAAGTAGGTAGATCATGTAACCGTACAACTCCTTTAAACTGTTGCAGCAGTCTCTGTGTTTTACTACACTGTGTTTGTCTTTAAAGAACCATATTCTCCATCTCCCCATAGCACTGCCTTTTTTAAAAGTATTTCATGTACAAAATTATGTATGAAATAGTGGGGGGAAAAAAAAAAAAAAAAAAAGCTGAAAACAATTTATTTGCATCCAGCTTCTATATTTTACTTTAGTGTGTTTAAGAGGAGAGAAAAACAAACACTTTTCAAAGACTATGGATCTTACTTGTGCAGTTTGGCAAGGATCCAGACCATGTTCCATTGGCAGTGCATTGTCTTACAGATGATCCAGAAAGTATGTATCCTTCCATGCATGAATAAATCACTGAATTAGAGAATGTAGTTCCATCAATACGAAATACTTTTCCATTAGCAGTTGTTCCTGGATTACCACACTGCACAGCTATAAAGTAAAATGTTTTATATTTTTAAAATGTAGTAAAGATGATTTCTGAAATAGTAATGTGTAAGGACAATCCTAATGCTGCAGTGTTATGTGGTAGAAATCCATGCTCTTGTCCTGAAAAAAATGTTTCACCACTTACAGATAAGGCATATTGTACAGTGAATAGCTGTTTGCATTAATTCTTTGTTTTT